TCCGCGTGCGAATCATGGACCTCGGTCTAGGCAGTTTCATGGGAATCTCGCTTAGGACATTTGTTGGACCACGCGGAATCCTTTTGCTCTCCCTCCCCGCTTGCACGGGCCCAGTTCAGATCCTCATCAACACTGGAATTTTGTAAGCATATACCCTGTTTTTGCGGGGTAAGGGGGGAAGAGCTTATCCATGTTCCCTTGATCTGGGGATGGCATGGGGTTCTCTACGATTCGGTGCAACGAGTGCAAATCCGAAAACTTTGCATATAAGATCATATAGACGCATCTCCTGACCCATTTGTGCAATCTCCAAGGTTCCGAGATATTGACATGTAGATGAACAAGATTTCGGATGATGATTATGACGGAATGCAAAATCATCACAGATCCTTGCAGTGCTAGAAATGCTGCCCTCCCATAAACTATAACGTGTTAGGAACTGGGCTTCCACGTATGAGTATTATCCCATGAGCTCCGTATGATACCATGTACTGAATATATTTTCAGCTTGTTCACTCTCAGAGAAGTGGTTCAATAAGCAAGCATTGGCAGCTCGATAGGCCACTTCAAGTGCTTCGTCGGGCAGCTTAATAGTCAGTGGCTACAGCCATGAATCAAAGACCAAGAGTGATACCAAGTAGGCATTTCTCGTAGCTCCTGGGGCTTTTGATACCGCCGCTTCAAACTGGACTGGATTAGTAGGACTGAAACTGTGCCAGAGACACCTGTTCAACCAGAAGCCCCCGACGGTGGTCTGTTCTTGTGACTTTATAGTTCCAAAGCAGAGCAGATGTCCCCGACTATGACGGGACCAAGAGCCAATTGTAGCTATAAAGATTATTGGCCGAACCTCTTCGATGTCGACTCCATAACAGTGGTTTATTTTGGATCGTTAAGTATGAGATGAATAAAGGTTAGCAAGGAAAGTCATCTATAGTCTTGATTTTGCTAATTCAATATCTAGCGCAAGTCAAAGCCCTGCTACCCCCCTTGAATAATTGAGAATTGGTGAATCGGCCCGTATGATATTTTTCTAGGATATGAATAAGTTTGATAGCTTGCTGTGATTTGTAGCCACCAAAACGGCTACGGATGTACTGATTGAGCCTCATTCGAAGCTGGCTCGCGTTTTCGCTCAAGTTTTCTAATAATCTTAGCAGGATTGCCTGCAACCACATGAAATGGAGGAACATCCTAAGAAAGTGACGTTCATCGGAAAAGCGTTAATAAAACAACAGAAACGGACATGTCTAGAGCTCTTACCTTTGTAACAACACTTGCGGCTCCAACAGTGCAACCGTCCCCAATCGTCACTCCTGGAAGAATGGTGACATTACCTCCTATCCAGCAGTCTTCACCAACTGTAATTGGGCGACCATACTCGGGTCCATTCGTTCCATTGCGTAGCTCAGGGTCGAGGGGATGAGTGCCGCTGAAGAATGACACGTTGGGCCCGATGAGAGTCCGGGAGCCAATGGATACGAGGCAGGTATCCAGAATAGTGCAGTTGAAATTGATGAAGACATTGCTTCCAACTTTGACATTGTATCCGTAGTCAATATTTATCGGGCGCTCTATCCAAGGGTACTCATGCAGAACAGCATCCTCCTCATCCTCAGTTGCTGCTTGAGGTGGGAGGGGTTCATTGCTGTTGGTAATACTAGTATATCAATCGTGGTCAGCCAAGATCTTGGCAAATTTATGGAACAATGAGCTTACTCCTTCCAATGCTCGGCAATTTGTCGCCGGGTCAATTCTCCTGCTCTGTTGAGGCGTCCAACAGCCTGCCCACATCGCCTCCGAGCTGCGACGAGCTGCGGAGTAAATGCGTAGTAGAGATCCCCCCGCTCCATGCGAGCGATATTATCTTTCTCGTCAATGTCTAGTAGCATTTTGAACGCTGGCGAATGCGTGGTTTGTATGACGGCTTCTTTGTGAGGATAGAGAGATGGGAGTTGAGGTGAAATGAATGAGGAGGGATAAAGTGGTTGTCTGATTGAAATCAGATCTGGCCACAAGTCTCCAGATCTCCAACAAGACGGTGGATCCATTCGAAATTCTTACCGAGTGGTTCCTCAACCATGGTTCATTGGTTAAGTACCTGCCACACTGAGCGATTGTCATCACAACTCAGATATCAAGACATTAAGCTACACAATTAAAACCAAAGGCATAAGTAAAACGTATTTGAGCATCAATCTCACAAGATGCGTCCACCCACCTGCCAATTTCATCCGTGCAATTTAGTTGTCGTGGTTTAGTTCCAGCAATGTACTCGGTACTAAATTCAAGATTAAATACAAACCGCGTTTCAAATACTCGAGCGAGGCTTCATCCTGACTTAAGTCGTGATGTTATCCTGGTCCAAGATGGGGACTAGCCCAATTAATTCTTGTCGTTTCTTCCGATGGCACTAAAACACAGCCAGTTGTGTGGTGGCGTAATTTCAGCCATACTTGCTCCATGTTTTGATCTAGCCTGGAATTCAATCGTGATTCTGGAAGAGGTTTTACTTTAGATTGTTGGCAACGTTCGCCTACAATATCTGGTTGATTCAGTAGGCTTCAATGGTATCATCAACGAGGCCAGGAGTTACTCGCTGCTCGCTTCTGTCTTCTTGTTATCTTGATTATAGTTGGAAAAAAAAAATGCCTATGGCCTAAGTCATATCCTTCATGAGATTTGAGAGCGAGCTACAACACCACATAGCGTTCCAGGACGCCTTTGGTATTAGCCCGGCTTTTGCAATGCTTGGGCACCAACATGGCCTGAAGTCGGCCCTCGTTCGAGGACCCTATTCATCCTTCACCACTCCTGGTATCTATTCTTTTATTTCAGGAGCATCCGTAGGTTTCTCCCTGTTTAGCTGTGCCACGAACTCTTTCCATAACCTTGGTCGGACATGAGCCTTAAGCCACGCCAAATCTTCTGGGTGGCTTCTCATATAATCCAATTCTGGAGTCGGGACTTCTTCTAGATACGACAAGCGCGATTTCACGATAGCTCGAATTGGTCGCTTATCAGGCTTTTCCTTCTTGATAGGCTTCGGTGGCTCGGTGAACGGGATGCCATATTTGAGCTTGGCTTGAATTTCTGGAACTTGGAGGAGTTGGATATGAGGTTCACTTCGAAGTCGGTGAGCGTAGAACAACAAAAATCCCTTGATAAGATTCTTACAAGGAGTTTCCTGTCCACTCATAGGGTAGTATAGGTACCGCGGCGTCATTATGCGATCGGCCATAGTCGACTAGGAAGAAGCAACGTCGGTTGTCAGAAGCAAAGTCACAACCATAGGTTGACCAGCGGAATTTAGGGAACTCGAAATCACATCGCCAGTGCTTTTGGCATATAAGATTCAGGAAATCTCGAGTTTTACTATCACTATTTTCTCCTGGGACCAGATGGGTCAGAGTTTGGACTAGAATGCGGACGGGGGGTTTTGCTTCCGGAAGCAGACTCGTTGGAATTCCAGAATCACTCGGCTTTCCCATGACTTCGACAAGAAGAAGAGAGCAAGGTGTCAAAAGGAAAGTGGTCTGATGTTGCGACGATGAAAGTGTTTATCTAATGAGAAATCTCACGCGGGGTGTCAACTCTGGACAGAAGGAAAACGGAACGGATAATTTGCTTATCCGCACACCTACAGGTGGCCCCGTGTCGATGGGAAAGGATACAATATCCTATGTATTAATTCCCATTAGGTTAAATGATCGATCTATCATTGATAATTTGTAAGCTTCGTAGCTCTTCCCCTTGATAGTAAATAAATCTATCGAAGCTGATGGGTAGGCTACTTGAGTGGAAAGAAATTTAGTATTATTATAATTATAATGATTCGCCACAGCTAGAGGTCATGAATTAAAGTAGAATTAATCTTAATGGAAGACGTAAATTTTCTATTATCTAAAAAGGGCCCATAAATACACTATTTGTTTCGGAAGTAAAGAAAAGATGCGGTAGAGTCCACCGCGTGACGGCAACCAAAGACTGCATGTAGTGCATATATAATGAATAAAGGCCGTTTCAACTAATCAATATCCATCAATATTGTAGAAGTTTATGTTTTAATCACCAAGAAAAGGAAGGCAACTCTTCTCGATGCTTCTCCTCATTCAAGGTGAACATTAATACCAGTAACTAGCTCCCTCTAGTAGGAATCCAATCACTGATTATTCCATGGCAGAAGTAACTTTGAAATTCTAAACCCCCTGCCATTATCATAGAAGCAGCCTCGGGGGTCGCAACACTGACGCTAAAGGTCATTTTCAAATCGGGGTATCCTAGGCATCATACTGCGAAATTATTGCTTTCGACAACTTGTACACATATAGAAGATAGTTATGGATAATCAGTTTCTATCATGACAACACTATTAAGGCAATATATACCGATATAAATGACGACATTTAGTGTATCGTTCCTTCAACGTTTATTGTTAGCCCTCAATTATTTGATAACACCGTTCGCATACCCAAGAATACATGTAAACAGTCCAATATCTTGAGTATCTCGATTATTGTCACCTAGTTGGCTAGCCTGTCGGATTTATTTCTTTTTGCCTATTCCAATTAGAATAATACATCTAGATATGGTAGGTAAGCTGGACTAATTTCTCACCCTCGCGAACCCTGTAACCACCTAAACCTAGAATCGTTAAATTTCAAGCAAACAGTACCGACCAACCAGAGTCTGTGCATTACGTTTTTCTACATCGGGAAATATAACCCAACCAAGAGACAAGGATCCATCGACTGTATTCTTACTCAGATATTGATTCGGCAATTCCAGTCATGTTATAATATGTTCCCTTAGCCCTCCTAATTGCCTTCCGCCAGCTTACCATCTTTTCGAATACTGAGGCGCTCAGAGGGACTTACCATAGTCATAAAGACATTATGAGTTGGCTCTCCACAGTGGGAGGGGTCCTTCTAGGACTTGGAGGACTTTGGACAAGCTACTGCCTTTTGTTCTTGGTGTCCAACTATAAGAAGGCACGTACAATGGGTTTGCCCATTCGAATTATTCCTATCAGCCATACAAATCCATTCTGGACAGTCGTCGATAGACATGTACTCGCCATTATCAAGCGGTTGCCATTTGGTCTTGGAGACAACAACTTCACGAGATACAACTTTCGAGGGTGGGAACTGGATGATGGATGTCGTTCTCATGATGAGATGGGAGATGCGTTTGTCATGGTCACGCCCGGAAGAAACTGGCTCTATATTGCCAATCCAGAAGCCCTGACGGAGGTGTTTCGGAGGAGAGCCGACTTTCATCGATGCGTTGAGTTAACAGAAATTCTTGACGTCTTTGGACCTAGCATTGCCACGGTAAGCCCTCTTATCATTCTCTCATTTCCAATACTCTTCATACTGACAGAACCACCCATACAGGCCAAAGGACAACGATGGAGAATGCAACGAAAAATAACAGCAAGTTGCTTTAATGAACCCACCAATGAAATCGTCTGGCGGGAGGCTCTTTGGCTGGCCAAGGATATGCTTCATTATTGGTCAACCAAATCGTCACTCACCTCTGCTGCTGATGATTGCCGCACCCTTTCTCTCCACGTCTTGTCTCGCGCCAGTTTTGGTAAGTCGTTCAAGTTCGAAGGCCATGAAGAAAGGGGCACCACTGGCATTTCAGCAAGCTATAAAAGCTCTCTGCAGACCATCCTAGAGAACTGCGTGGTGATCATGGCACTGGGCACCAAAACCATTGCCAAACCCTGGATGCCCAAAAGAATTCAGAAAATCCACGAAGCCTGGATTACTTTCCGGAAGTATATGACGGATCTTTACGAAGAAGAGAAAAAGGCATTCTCAGAGGGCCACACAGGAGGAGGTAATCTTATGAAATCCCTTGTTCGTGCAAGCCATGAGGAAACAAAGACCGGGTCAGGCCTGACTGAGGCCGAGATCTACGGCAATATATTTGCCTTCAATTTCGCAGGACATGATACTACAGCCCATTCATTTACCTTCGCTATCTACTTCCTTGCTGCCAATCCAGATGTGCAAGCCTGGATTCGTGAGGAGATTCAGCAAGTACTCGGCGAAAACGATGAAGAGTGGAGCTATACTCAGGATTTTCCCAGATTAAAACGATGCCTCGCTGTCTTGATGGAGACTATCAGGCTGTATACCCCAGTTCCGGTAGCGAAATGGACCGATCAGCACGCGCAAACCCTCGAAATAGGAGGCAAAGTCGTGCACATACCCGCAGAGACGATGGTTATCCCAGCCTACAGAGCTTTACACACACAGCCCGAGAACTGGGGATCCGACGCAGTTGACTGGCGGCCATCGCGATGGGTCACGTCCTCTTCCATCCCATCTACACTGGATAAAGAGGAGCTCATCACACCGCGCCGAGGAAGTTTCCTCGGTTGGTCGGACGGCTCACGGGATTGTGTCGGACGCAAGTTCTCACAGGTCGAATTTGTGGCCACATTGGCAAGGTTGTTTCGAGACTGGCGAGTGGATCCTGTACCTCTGGGTGAGGAGAATATGGAAACTGCGCGAGAGAGAGTGAAAACCCTCATTAGGACGGATTCGGGGATGGTACTGCTGTTGCAGATGCTTCATCCAGAGCGTGCCCCTCTTCGATGGACTAAGGTTACAGACGGTGCTACTGATGCAAGTTACTCATCTTCAAACATGAACCCAAAAAACGGCCTATGAGAAAGACATAGTGAATGGATGTGCATTTCTCCGCGTCTTCCACGATAATTGACTGTTTGAGGTGTGACGAAGAAAGTTGGTAGTTCGTCTCATGCATCAGTTGTTCAAGAGATGGCTAGAATGAAATACGATAGGCTATTTTCTTCCGCTATATATCAGTAACATTCTGCAGGTCCTTGGGAAAATGGAGAAGTATGAGTAATTAACTAAAATGTCGTGTTGGATATTCACGAACAAAGATGATTGATGATTGTCCTGGGGAAGATGTGAGGTGTAGGGTAAGTGTTTCGTGGGTGATGGCCGGAGCGCAAAAATGCGACAGCCGAAAATCTCGTCGCAGGCGACCAAGAGAACAATTACGCACAACCCATTAAGTATTGTTGGCTGCTGCTTGTCACCGACTCAACCACCTGCCGCCTGTCGACGCCGACGCCGACGAATCCCATTCCTCTAGCCTCGAATTTGACGAATCCATCTCTCCTTTACCGACAGACCGACGACGTCTGATACACAGCCTTCCGTGGGGGTTCCTCCTGTCGCGAACGAATTGCCCTCTGGTCTGGAGGGTTCTACAGCTATCGCATCTCCATGCCCACCGCCGCCTTTGTCATTCCAAGAAGACGGAGTTCTTACCGCCTCGGCCACCGAAGCAGATGAATATCCAGACCGTAGTAGGAGTAATTGGGTGGTCCATCCACTGTTCGGGACGAGCGCGAGATACAGAGCCCGTGGTGGAAGTAGAACTGTAAATGCTGGCTACTTAGCCCAGGCCGCTCCTCCGGGAAAAAGATAATAGGTATATAATTGAATATGGCCTCGTAGATGCGTCAAGCGCCAGATTTCTTGCTCTGATGGGCCAGCTCGAGGCTGGCCCAGGCTGGTGCTTGCCGCGATGCCCCAATGTGCCTGCATAGCCACATTGCCACAGTATGACGCGGGCAGCCCACCATCATCCTTCGATTCGATTGCACTCGCCACAGGCTGATGAGGCTCTGGGACCAGGGACTAGATTAGATGGCAGGCTTGGCCAGTATATCCCACCGCCTGCCCTCCCCTCAATCCCCTTCCAGCATGTGCCCTCATGGCAATTCCGTAAAGCTTGTCGCAGGGCCCTCTTGAGGAGAGACACAATGAGTGGCGGCAGCTCAGTACTGGGCGATAAAATCGCGATGCAACAACACCACGATGACGAACAGTCCCGCGGCGCTGCATCCGCGCAGCCGCCTCCGTACACTCTGCTGACCCCGACACCAGCTTCACCAAATCCACAGCCGGCTGGACCTGCAAGCACAAGCAGCAGCCCAGCGCAGACGCCTACGCCGACGCCGCGCCAGACAAATGAGGGCCTGCCCAATCTCAACTATTCGCTGTACTCACCCCCCTCATTTCAGCTGTCAGCCGATCGCACCACTCTCACCTCCCAAAATGCCAGTCTCTCTCAGGATGCCAGCGCCCTGGAGGCCTTCCTACGCTCACAGGCTACAGTGCCGCCCAAACCCCAAATACACATCAAGGGCTCGGTCAACAACAACGTCCAATTTGATCTGCACATCAACCTCATGGGCCTGCTCATCCCAGAGAGCCCTGAGAGCAAGAAGGACTATCTCCGACTCGTCTCCGATGGGGAGCTGGCGTACCGCGGCGGAATCCAGCCGGAGCTCACCCCTGCGACGGGACCTGGCGGCCTGGCCAAGTGGTGCAAGCGCTTCGTCGAGGACCCGGCGCCGGAGAAGACATTTGTGATGACGCGCGTCGTGGCCAACCTGGACACGACGTGGTTGGAAGGACAGCTGCGTGGCTTGATTCTGTCGACGGGATTCCAAGGCGCGGTGGCGGTTGAGTTTCCAGTCACGCACTCCAAAGTTGTGGTCCAGGCCCCGGCGAAAGGGAGCAAGCGGTTCAAGAGCTTGTCCGGTATGTGGGCCTCGCTCAAGTCCAAGACCTGCCGGTTCGAGGTTGTTCAATCAGTGTGGCCCTTTGCGAGTGAGATGCCGGGTGTCCAGGGGCGGCAGTATGTGGTGAAAAGTGAGGAGAACTGGTGGAGGGAGTGGAAAGACGCCATCAGGTTCGCAGTGGCAACGCAGAAGAAGGGCTGGATCACGGTGGAGGACAAGCTCGAGGCGCTCATGGAGGGGACACAGCATGTCGGTTCACGACCTGAATGGGGAGAACAGTATGTGTATTCGAGCCAGGAGTCTATTAGCAAGGTATGATATAATGACAATGCGATCATGTTATGATAGAGCTGGACGGCTCCTGCTAAGCAGCAGTATGCGCCAATCAATCACCAAGCAGCAAGGGCATTGTCCCCTCATCCGAAGAGTATGTTAGGATTTGGGAATGCCCATGCAGCCCTAATTCAATGCAGTGAGAGCTTCGCTTATTTCTCGTCTGCCAGGGCCATAATCTAGACTGTCAAACTGCTTCTAGCGAGTCTTGATCAGAGGGTATCGCGCTGGCTGCGCTTGACCAGTAGTTGTGGATGGATCATCATACGTCTCGCCCAACATTGGTGGCTTCGCATTCAATGCGACCTGCATAACTTACCGAGAAGAATTTCAGGTGGTTGGAGACGTAGCGATAGCCTTGATTGGATGGCTGAGCCCGTGATTATCCGTGGGCTGAATCTGTGTGGTGTTTGGTGGCTTTCCGCCTGACCTCAACAGGCAGCGGCTGAGACTAAATACGGGATCAGGAAATGCGACGTGGCCTAAGTGTCTACAATGTGAAGAGACAAAGTCAGGCGGAGGGAGAGAGCCAAATTAATTAAAGATCTCACTACGCACTCATCAGGACTTCACAAGCCTCTGCTGTATTGAAGTTGTCTCGTCTCCATCACCACCACAATGTCAACCGAGGGAGACAAGCAATATTGGGATAAGAAGGCTCCCTCATATGCCAAGTCCCCCGTCGCTGATGAGGCTGGCTATCAGCGCACATTGGAAAAGACACGGAGCCTGCTGAAGCCAACCGATACGGTCCTTGAGCTTGGCTGCGGAACAGGCTCTACGGCGCTCAAGCTCGCCGATGCCGTCAAGAGCTACCTTGGATCCGATATTTCTCGTGAGATGATCAAGATCGCCATTGAAAAACAGACAGGCGAGGAGACGAAGCATTTTGGTCTCTCATTTTGCGCTGCGACGGCCGAGGAGCTCGCTGCAAAGCCAGTGCGATTTACCACTATCCTGGGCTTCAATTATCTGCACCTGGTCTCTGATCTGGCGGCCACTCTGAAGGCGACACACTCCCTCCTTGAGGATGAGGGCCTGCTCATAACGAAGACACCGTGCCTGGGTGATATGAACTTTCTTCTCCGATGGGGAGTTCCAGTTGTACGACTTTTTGGCGTTGGGCCAACTGTCACTATTTTCACTGAGACGGAGTTGTCCAAGCTGCTTCGGGATGCAGGCTTTGAGGTTCTCGAGACAGAGAAGCACGCGTCAAAAGGCGATGACAGCCGGCCATTCATTGTGGCCCGCAAGAAGTGACGGCTTGACACTTGAGGTGGTCGCAGCCCTGGGGAGCGGTCGGTGCTAGCAGGTCGGAGTACAGTATGTTTCCCTGTGTACCAATAAAACAAACCCTTCTCAAACCCTGGTGATGGTACGGATAGGAATCTGGATAATGTCAATTGGTGACCTGGACACAAGTAACTTGCAAGTATAAGCATCTTATTCAGCCTCGCCTCGCCTCGCAGTAGAGCCTCTCAATTTCGTTTCATTGTCTTGCAGTTTAGAACTCTGAAGTAAGTTAAATTTCCCATAACACCATGTGCTTTTGACACTCTTGTGCCGAGATGTTTTTGGCGCCACCCTTATTGTTGGCCGTGTGGCCTCTTGTCAATCTTTTTTGTTTTCTAGTCCACCAGCACACTCATTTTCCATCATACCGAGCTGTACTTACACATCCACAGCCTTTGATGCCCCTTGCACGCACAGGCTTGCTATGCTTCCACCTGGCCGTTTTGCGCATTCTGTCCATTTTGCTCGCTCTGTCCCTTCTGTCCCTCTCCATTGTTTAGCTCCAAATGGAAAGAACGGATGATTGAGTCCGCATCGTCGATTGCCAGTGGCCTGCACATATTAGCTAAGGACCGTGTTATTGTTTACTTATGTGACTTACCTGATATCGGCCATCGCTTTGATCTTAGCCGTACTAGAGTCACACTGTCAGCAAATCCGAAGCAACATACGGACAGATAAATCTTACACTTCCTTGACCTGGTCGTCTGTCATCTGTAGTTCTAATTAGCGAAAAGTAATCGACCTGTACATAAGGGAACACTTACAATTAGACCAAGTTGTGATATTCTGCTCTTGATTACATTCCAGCCAGTCAGTCTGGACGTGAAATGGACATCTGAGTAATGGTTAGTTATGGATCCAAAGACACGTTATATCATGGAACTTACATCGGGTTAATCCAAAGTCCTCGGGCTTCAGGATTTCGTAGGTCGACGGAGAGTTAAGGATAGCCTTAGCGTGAATACCGGCCTATAGCAGTGAGTATATAGAAAATGGTATGTTAGAGCTGCTAGAAAGTACCTTGTGTGTGAAGGCGCAGAAACCTGTCGAAATTGTCAGTTTATGAATATCTACATGCCTATGTCTTGTGGGGAATGTAGCTCACCAGTGATAGGGTTGTTGAAAGGGGTGTTGATCTGTTCTAATGTTAGTATTAAGTCGGGAAAGGGCAGGAGCACAAGTCTGAACTGACCTCGACTTCTTCGGCGACGAAATCCTCGATGGACTTGATCATCTTCAGGTTGTACTTGGACAGCACATAGTCTCTCGAACTCGGCATCATTCTCGCCATCAAGGCTCCGAGAGGGGTGATTCCGTTTCTCTCGCCGATTCCAAGAACGGAGGTATCGACGTCTAAAATAATCAGTTAGCCATTTGGGTCCATTCATCAACGAGAAGTCCTCTTTGAGATCGCAGTCCTTGATTCCAAGCTGAACTTGGCATCTCAGGTACTGTGCATAATAATAGGTGTAGCTTTCAAGTAGAGAGTGGAAAAGTTTTACTTACGTGTTGCTCCGGCTTCCAATGCTGAGAATGCGTTTGCGACGGCACAGCCGGTGTCGTCATGGAAATGGACCTCCTATTATAGCCCCGAGGTTAGCAAGCTCGTCCACAGGCTGCCGCGAATGAAATTACGGGTAGAGAGTAGTAGGTGAGCGATGATGACTTACAATGTCGCAGCTGACGCAACCCCTGAGAGTCCTGACAAGATCCTTCGCAAGCATTAGCAATAAGTACTAGGTAAACTACAGGTAAAGCAAGAAAGAAATAATAGGCGTACGTAAACCTGTCGAGGAGAGGCACATCCGACAGTGTCCGCAATTCCAACGCGGTCTACTCCAGCCTGGCTCACAGCCTTGTAGATGGACAGGAGATCGACCAGGTCCGAACTTGAGAATGAGTTAATATAATAAGATCATAGGTTAGTTGCAAGCCGACCCTCATAAGAGCTAATCCCAAGGAAGAGTGAGGCCGTCAGCGCCAGAACTAAGCCAAAGATGGGGCATGACTTTTCGGTGCTTGTTCCTGTCCGAGGACCGTATAAGTCGTAAGGGCGATTGTAGCTCAGCCAAAAATCCATGAGAAGGGGGCTCAGTGGGTAGGCAATTGGCAGAAGAGAGTCGGTCTTGGCAACATTCTGAATCGGGAGGAGGGTGATTACGAACCGGAATGAATCTTCCGTCGAGAAGCGAACTTCGCAGCCACGGCTAAAAAAATAAGTCAGCTTCCTGGAATTTTCTCTACCAAGTCAGGCACCCTAGCTGCTTACCTCTTGATATATTCGATGACCTCGAGGGCCTGCTTGGTGATGGCAACCATATCCTTGCCACCGAGAGAGTGCTCGCGGAGGAACTCTAGTTTTCGTCAGTTAATAGCAACCAAGGTGAGATCTGGGTGTTCTTACGGCTCGTGCCAATCACGACATCAACTCCGTCCACGCCGGCGTCGCACTACCCGTGTTAGCTGTGTTGTTTGGCTGAGGGATGACCTTATTCGAAAGCAAACGCAAAGGGAGAGTGACGAGGAAATGGGGAGGTCCCCCATTTCCACAGAGCCAAATCGACGGTGTCTGTTGCCGAAAATTGCTTGCTGTAGTTCCCGCTGCGCTTCGAAGTCGCCACAGGGGCACCTTGGCAATCGTATTGCTGAAGGATCGGTTATGATTCTTGAGGGCAGCGGGGCCGCGTTTCGTATGTTTCAAGAATGCAATGACTGGTTTGATATAGGCTTTCGTGGAAATGGGGAATCGTTCGGTAGAAGACATGTATTCGATCTCGGGGGTAGCTTACTGCAATCTTGGCGTCCTAAACATGTGTTAGCGGAGTACGATGTATAGATAGTTGGGTCACTTACACCGATCGTGCACCTGGTATGCGTCAGGATCTTGGCCTGCCATATTGTCAGTACTATTCGCATCTGCAGCTAGCTCCTTGACACATACCTTGAGGCCCAACTTGCAGATTGTCTCCAGATCGGCTCGCGATTGCGGTGAGGAGCAGGGGTTCGTAAGTTCGAGGTAGTCTACACCGAATTGATCAAGCATAGTTGCGCTATAGAATATGTGTTAGTAAATGATCAATAGGAGGGCAGAAGAAGCAGGACGAACATCTTGATCTTGGTTTCTGTGCTATAGTGAGAGTTGGCGAACTGCTCTCCTTCACGGAGGGTGGCTTGTTTACGGTCAGTCTAGATCTATGCTCTCTAGAGTAGCGAAAACTCACATTCAATGATCTTAAAGTTGCGGACATTGCTGAGTAGATCGTCGATCCTCGCGTAAGGGTTTCCGGTTGGAGCTGACATTTTGGATGGTTTTTTCGGTGTATTTGAGCGTGGTGGAACAGTCGAAGGCCAATTGACCTGTAATTTGGAGGGCGCGGGCGCGGGGAAGATCGATAGGGATCGGAAGGCGCAAATTGACACAGCTGAGGGCAATTGCGGAGGCTCGAATCGAAGGCTCGTGTAGGCAGGTATTTGGTAGAGGAATTCGAGGTGGACGAGGGGCAGAAGAAATCAATTTTCAAACTGCGTCCAGTGAGGTCATTTAGTGGGCACAAGCTCCGATGGCGGGGAAAATTACAAGGCCTCTCATTGGCCCGGGCCACGGGCCGGCTGAAAAAGATTGCTCTGTGCCCCTCCATCGGATCATCATCGGCCAAGTTTTGCCTGCACAATTACCCGACATCGCCATTAAATACAAAACCCCAGCCTGGAAGCCCTCTTTTTCCTCATCAATTGGATGGGCTTAAATCCCTTCTTACGTCAGGCAATTAGCAATTAATTTAGCGGCCCGCTTTTAGATCTTCTTCTATAGATGCAAAGCAAATTTACGCCTGCTTGCTCGCGTGCCCGCTGCGTTGTATGCACTTCAGTAGGTAATTAAAAGCTTGCCTGGATTTGGTAATTACTCGACCAAGTATAATCGGTCCCGCCTGTTCCAGAGACGTGGCTCAGGCGGCCTAGATAGCTCATCTCATAGAGCATCTGCTCAGTTCTAGTAGCGGAAAAGGACTCGCTCAGTGTCTGTTTTGGAGTGGTGTATAGGATGTTATAGTACCATCGAGTCAGTTCAATGAGGAGGTTGAAGCCCCTGAGGAGGAGGATTTTATGAACAGTTGATGATCAATCCAAATTGAAGCTAGGCTGAAAATGTTTTGTTTACTAAATGGCCATTCGTGATGGGTTATGGCTCTGATGTCGAATTTAATTTCTGTTGCGTTCAGAAAAGGCTCAATGAATCTCAACACAGGAAGTCAAATTCGGTCTATATAGCTCAACTCTCTATCAAAAACAATCCATAACCTAGACGTCTACTCAACAGATCCCTATGTGCTCTCATAGATGGCAACATACTTGACCTGCAAGCCCACATCCAATCCCTTAGATGTAATCGCGTTGGGCTGCCCAGCTCCAGGGAACGAAGAGCCGACTGCAACATTAAGGATGGGGAAAATGTTCCACTGGGCAAGCCTCTTCCAGTAAATTTCCCTTTGAGCATCATCTCTCCCATAAGTGAGCTGTCGACCAAAGACCTGATGGAAAGCGTTTCCATTCTGGTACCAGGTGATGCTCTGATCCTTCCAGTTTGAGGATGTGCAGTTGATCTTGATGGCCCAAGTGTTGAAGGCGTTCTTATCAAACTCACGAAATCCACTGGAGATCTGCTGAGAGCCGGGGTCACCAACATTTCCATAGTGCAAGACCCCCATCATCAAGTTGTTCCCATGGCCGTTCTCGAAGATATCCAGCTCACCACAGTGAGGCCATTTGATGCCGTTGCGGTAACTAAAGAAGGCAATGAGTTAGCTCTGGTTAAATCTTGAAACATTTTCTGAAGGGAAAGAAAGTGTGAGAAACACATACTCTTGCCCCAGTGTCCAAAACGCGGGCCAGATACCAGACTGGTTTTCAGGGGGTGCGTAACCGGTACGAAGCTCGGCTTGAATCATAAGCTGTTTGCCAGCGGGGCAACTATAGCTGGCACGCCCCTCGAGGCGCGCCGAGTACCAGTTGTTGTTCCACTGTGGCTTGATATGGAGCATAGACTCTCCGTTGATGGAAACAACCCAGCTATCTTTGATGTACCACTGCTGCTCTTCACGGTTGTACTCGCCAGGGCGGACATTGTTCTTGATGTCCCACTTAGACTCGTCGGGAAGAGATCCAGCTGCGCCGTTGAACTCGTCGGACCAGAGAAGGCGCCAGCCTGGGAGTGTGGGAGACATGTTGCTTTCTTTGAGTGTTGGTGCGAGAGGGAAAAATGGGGTCTTGTTGTGTGGTTGTGTCTGCTTGGGGATCCAAAGGATGCTGGCGATGTTGATGTTGATGAGTTGAAAGTTTCTTAAATGCCGGATGCATGCATGAATTTATACTTTTTGCATCCGTGAAGATCAGTTGACACTTATCACTATATTCTGTCTATTTGATCTGGAACTGCTTCATCTGGTAACAGTCAGATTGTTGCGAGACTGGTGTGGCGTTGAATGGTGAGGTCCGAGGCTTGGACGGTCTTAAACTTCTAGAATCAATCAGCTGATCCGTATTAGGAAGATGTTGGGCCAACTGTGGTAACAAGCCGGCCTGAAAGACGGCTGCTGATCCCGCCATTTCATGAGCGTAGGGCTCTTCGCGAGATCGAGTTACGGGCGGTTGGGCAAAGTGCGAGATAGGCGATCCAACGTAAGGCAGGTCGGAGTACGGAGTGAGATTTCAACCTTAGCATCACGGCGATGGCAGTCAGAAAAAAAAGGGACAGTAAAGCCACCTGGGATTATTGTGCCAGATTGTCACACAATAATGCTTCATACTGTACATAGTAAGTTGATACTATCGCCTGATAATTGCGCAATAGTTCAGTGTTATTATTATCAATTAGGTATTATCTGCCATTACCGTGGCATGCATTAGAAGGATTAAAACAACCCCTTTGCAGTCCCTGTTATTCTGACGTCCACTTGCATCATGGCATTGGAGCACTGAAACACTACGCTGACAGCTCGCTTAGCTAGTTGATTTGATATGGGCTTTTATCCCTGCTCTGACCACTCGCTTTCTCCGCGCCCTGCATATTTATTGCTTACTGCAGCTGAACGGCAGGGGTTGAGAGGTAAATCACAGTGAGGAGAAAAGATTTTGCCAGTCTTGCCGCCAAAGTAAAACCCACACTCATGAGCCTCTAGTAAATGGATTGAGGCTTTGTCTTGGTTGCAGCAAGGCGTTGCGAGTCCAATTGTGAGATACTGGACCAGGGATACAGTCATCAGCCTCGGGTCTTGATAGGCATCAGCATGGAGCACCAACCAGAGCAAGAGTCGGAGCATCAGCCAGATTACGACCCAGAGCACCGGTCCGAGCAAAGCCAACAAGCAGACGCGAGATACTCGGCTCAACCCCCGACTGCTGAGGATATTCTGGAAGCAGCCAAGTCTACCGACAGGGACCAACTGCTCCGGCTATTGGACCATAATGGCGCAGATATCAACATCAAGAGTCAAGATGGGCTGACCGCGCTACATCTTGCCATCTTGTCGCGCGACCTAGTCGCCATGGAGACGTTACTGGAGGTTGGCTCTGATATCGAAGCTCAAGCACCGGGCGAGACTTGGCCTCTTCTCATGGCAACCAAGTCAGGTGATGTAGACATGGTGACTACTTTGCTCAAACACAGTGGAAACCTTGCTCCCAATTATCTGGGAATACAGTCGCTGAGCAGAGCTATTTTGGATGGGGATATCGAACTTGCTCGCATACTCATAGACTATGGCACAGAGACATATGGGGAAGAATTTGATTTGAACGAACTTCTCTCCGACGCTGTTCTCACTACCCCTAGCCGTGTAGGCACCATCAAGCTACTCCTCGATCGTGGAGCTGACCCCGATTGGTTCTACAACAACTTCGCAACAGTGTTGCACTCTGCTTCAGCCAAGGGTGACCTAGGGACAATGAAGACGCTATTAGATGCAGGAGGCAAGGTAGATATACGCGATTTCAATGGAGCGACTCCCTTATTTGAGACGGTGGCTTTGGATGACCTGGCACCCGCAAGACTGCTATTGCAGCATGGCGCAAATACCCACATCTGGAACTCAGACGGCAAATCAGTTATCGACTTGGCTGAGTCTCACCCCGAAATGCTAGAGCTCTTGCAGACCGATACCGTCTTTCAGGGACCGAGGATGAAACCAAACATGAACGAGCAGCCCGAGGAGTCATTTACTATGCTCCGGCCAGCTCTTCCACCAACTTGGGGAGAAAGAGCCAAGTTAGTCGCGTGCCATGGATTTGATGCTACCATTGTCGACTTCTTCACAGGAGGTGAGCGTGAACAGATGATTCCAAAGAGAGCTTCTGTGCATGAGCTTCTATATAGCCATGGGCCCGAGGCTATTCGAAGCCAGTTAGATGGTAGACGACCCGATTTCACTTGGTATCATCTACCAAGCAATAATGTATGTAATCTCTCTCTGTATACACATATGTATTTATCACAGAAAACTAATGCTCCGATAGATGGTCTGGGTTGAGGTGAGCTGAGATAGGATCTGAGATAGCCATATGATTCTCACAAAAAGATAGACCCTTATCAGACGTCTTGCAGCAGAGAAAGGCACAATATCCAAAGAGATGTACGAGGATACAAAGGAAGAACTTGAGCTACCACATTCCGAAAACCAGAAATCAAGACCATCAGCGGGGCCGCTGTCGACACTTAGACCACAGTGTCGCCGAGTTCTCGTACGTGATACCGAATAGTTATGAAATTGTAACTGACACACCTCTACTGGATTACAGAGTCATATAGTCACCTCGCCTGAAAATGGAAGCGACGATTGCATTGTTTCGTTTGTACGTCGAACAGCACTATGTTCTTACAGAGAAAATTATCAGTACTCCTAATACTAGACTACCTTAGGTTCCTTTTCTGCACGCCGAAACTTATGGAGGATATGAGCGTATGGCGAAAGCTATGAAAAGAACTTGGAAACGGAATAGGGATCGTTTTGTCATTAGACTGGGAGCAGGGCATCGGCAAGGGCCTTCAATTGAGAACCCAACATCCCCTCCTACGAGGATGGGCCTTTTGGGTCATGCAAGATCTGGCTGGATGGAACAACTGAAGGAAATGCTGACCGGGCGCCCAGCGAATCTCCGCCCACACACAGAATCTAGTGGGACAGTTTCAAACGGACAAAACGTATCAGGGGGGCCCGAAATGAACAGGTCCACGGCTAACGTACGAATCACTGAAGACGGGAATGAAGAACGTGGAGTATCGGAAAATGCTGTATACCCTCCAGGTTCTCCGGCAAAGATCTCAAACGAGGTGAATCGAGAACTGGTCAACTCATTTCAAGATGAGAGACTTTCGATCCCTTCCAATGATAAGGGATCAGACAAGGCTGCTTCTCAGATCCCCAAGTCACTAACCCGCGAGACTAACAAGCCAGCTACCCCGAAATCTCAGGAAATTTTAGATGACAATGGAAAAACCTCGAGATCAAACAAAAGCGTTCCTGCAATGGAACCAGGTCAAATGTCCTCAATGGCCAATCGGCAATTGGATGCAGCTGGAACTAGAAAGACGGAAAAAGAGAGGATCCCCCCTCCAACCAAGAATTTGAATGAGCATCTAATCAAAGGATATTATAAGCCCGGAACGCTGGGAGTTCAGCCTCGGCGCACCCTGGATCAGTATGTCTACGCTGACAGGGAGACTCTGGCACACCGCGATGATGACCAAGTGGTGTATCGATATACGAAAGAGCATCCTTCAGTAGGCCCCCCCAGAATTTTCATGGTGGACCAACTGTGGCTCTGGATACTTGGAAAAGGTGCGCTATGAATTGACATCACGACCAAGGTCCGAGGCTTACTGCTTACATGTTCAAAGATACCATCATTACATGCAGCCCGCTACAGTGGTATTCATGGATCCCGCGGGGGTTCACACTCCGGCCACATGAAATGTATCATGCAGCTAAGCCGGGCCTTTTGGCGTACTTTTCAGGCACTCAAAACATAAGACCGAGATCCCAGTGGGCTTCTAAGGCAAAGCACAAGTCACACAAATTCAGTTCACGATCAGCACGAAGGGGTGTACTCGATCCAGATGTGGAAACGTGGCCAGAAATAGACCCAGATGACCCCATGAATGTCCATCAACGTGTTATGAAACACCTTTTTCGAAACAACCGAGGACCGGTAGGTTCGGTTTATGGGTTGGCCGGCCTGATCACAACATCTTGCGTGGATGTATTTGACCCAAGCCAACTCCCTGATGACTACCTATTTTTCGATTTCTTTGAAAAGTCGATAGGGATAGTGGTGAGACAAAACAACTTTATTAACCCCGTTGAGTTGTGCAACCAAGTATTGATCTTGTCTAATATGTGAAAATAGAACGATAAAGTGGCTAGCTATCTCAGAGATTTCAAAGACACTGTGAGCAAGCTTCGTGCTGATTCCGTTGAGCATGCAGTTATGGATATCACGGGAGAAACAGAGCTTATGATCGAAATTGAGGATATACTAGACGAGCTACACATTCTCAAAATGGTCCTGAAAGACCAAGAATCTGTCCTTGGAGACATGAACAAGTCTCTGAGGGAAATAGCGGGAGACGGCAAGAAGTCTCCGGCTGTAGAAACCAGGATTCTAGACAATCACCTTCTTCGGATCACGAGAATGGAAGAAGCGGCGAAGAAGGCCAACACATCAGTAAGATGATTGTACTAGAATGATATTCTATGATCTGACAACAAAACTAGATTCACAGGTTAATGGACCTCAAGCAAAAGCAAGCCAGTCTAGCAGAGTCATGGTATGCCCGAGCAGCTGCTAGAGACACAGCCAGACAGGGCAAGACAGTCATTGTGTTTACAGTGGTAACTATACTCTTTGTAAGTTGTGGCAAAATTTGATGAAGGAATGACAACATCCTAATCCTAAATCCTGTAAAGTTGCCAGTTTCTTTCATCACCTCAGTCTTCACCATCGAGGCAACCGTATTTCCTCGAGACCAGGACGGCAAAATTCCGTTCGAATACGCTATGAAATGCATCAGTAAGTAATTAAAAGCATAAGAAATATTGGGAAGATTGACTCTAACGAGTATGTAACCAGTGGGCATTGGACTTGGCTTGTCCTTGCCTTTAATCATCATTGCATTCAATGTTGATAGAATAGCAGACCTTTTTAACAATTTTAGAAGGGAAAGTAGTATACCATGGAAGAAACTCACGACTGTGACTGTCCTGGTAGGCATTGTTGCAGCTATAATAGCTCCAGTTTGGACGTCACAGTTATCGCCTGGCGCTAAGATAGCCGTGACGGTCATGCTCAGTCTCATCATTCTTGTGGCCTTGATTGCCAAAGGCATTTGGAACATGTTTATCTCACTTAAAGAGCATTCCACCGTCGCAAGCATAAGTTCTGGCTACAATAGCTTCTAGTATTCAGACACTGCCGAAGAAGTCATACAAAATGATTTGATGAGATTCTTGCTAGTTGTGAGGATGTGAGTTTAGAGAAGCTTCTCTAGAGGGTATTGGATTTACCTATGCTACATGTTAAGAAGATAATAAGCTAATAGGATAACTATCATACCAAGCAAGGCAACCGCTAGTAGAAAAAAAGATATCCAACCGAGCACCATAGCGCCAACCCCCAAACCACCACTTGCTGCTCCATACGTGAAGGCATCGGTCATTGTAGAAGCTGCGACACCGGCCATGTGTTGCCAGAATCCAGAGAGAAGAGCCATCATGGATGAAATACACATGACGATGATTATGACTAGAGGCATCATGTTCCTCTTGGCTGTCACTAAACGTTCACCCCTATCATCTACAAGATCTTCTCGTTTCAAACCAGGAAGGCCCCAAAAAATGCAAAATGATATGAATGAGAAAGCTATGGAAACAAACCTAGGCGAAGTTTCATGTTAGAAGGCCAATCGCATTAGGAATTCAACTCACACGGGTTGTTAGGGGACAATACTAACCAAAGGCCAACAAATACCACCTCGGACCTAAACTTTTCCGCAGCAAAAATCAAATTTAGAGGGTCTTCAGCTTTGGATTGTAGGATGAAGTTGGCCAGATGCTCAGAACGCCTAGAGCAGATCCAGCCGTTACCGCTGGTCAGGCACATCCCCAAATAACCAGCACGAATATGCAGGGAGGTCTCATTCCCAGCAAGAGTAGAGAGAATATACGAGGCATTCGGGTTAACTTGCGACGGATTTGAATTCTGCTGTGCCTCTCCGTTCGTATATGTAAGAGAGAAGATGAAGATGCTATTGAGACTTTCACTCGTGCAACCAGCCACAAGAACAGCTGTAAAGAGAATCAGCAATGAGCAAACCACGGAAAGCTGAAATGGAAGGATTTGAGTTTTCACATTGTAGGATAATGGCGACGGCAATTAATCCCATCAAAATATGGTTATAACGTATCGAATGGAGGCTAGGAGAAACGTGTGAGCATTTTCTTTCCGAGGCTCACGGATCAATTGCTAAGGACATACAATCGATACCATCCTGTGTGGGACTTTGAGGTTACACGCGATGGGGCGGATGAGGACAATGCAGATGAGGTTCTAGACATGGCGTTGATCTTTGTAGACCCAGCCCATAGGTTGCCAGTTTCAACCTGGAGCAAAATTCTCAAAATATCCCTCCAAAAGACCAGGTTACAGGTAGTATCACGTGCTGCCTGCATATGCATGAACTGGGATCAGTACCGAACAGTCAGAGAAAACAGAGGCCTGCAAAAAAGTATTTTAAACTCTTAGGAAAATAACTGTATTAAGTATGTTTCTATATATCATAATAGAGCGATATGTCACAACTATTCCTATATTATGTGACAAAAAGGGGCGCGGCAATGTAGTTGGGGCGATTCAACCCGCGATTACTATGTACATGACCAGGCAAGCATCGCAGGGTGTCTAAGCGTGTGACATAAGCTTCAAATTAGGTAAGGGACAAGCATTTCATCTTGTACTTATTCCCATCGTAATACAGCAGCACATGTATTTATATAAGTTACACTTGGATTCGCTTCGGTGTTGAGAAGTTCGTGTTGATATATGCATGTTATGGCTGCGCCCATTTGCCTCGTGGCAGTGACGACATATTTGATGAATTGGCTTGAAGCCACAGCGTGGCGTAGCAGCGGCTTATAATTCCATCAAGGGGTGACATTGAAATTGAGACACACAACAGAAGAGTAATTATTAATCGACTACTTTTTACAATAAATAGAAGGACTCAATAGTATAAAAAGAAATCAGGTAATAATATATAAAGTATTGTCTCAAATTATACATTATCAGTACTTAGTGAGTTGATAATACTGGTCGCAGGCTTGAATAAGCAGCCTAATGTTTGAATATCTCAATTTCAATGTCACCCGTCTAAGCCCAGTTATGTCATGAGACCCCATAAGCATCCCTGGTCTAAGTCCAAGCGAAGGATAAAAATAGCATCTCATCTCACGAGAAAGTAATACTGCTACCCAACTATTAAATGAACAACCATCCCCAACAGACCCCGGATTCTCAATTCCATTATTCTTCTATTCCCTCGCTGTCACTTGCATGATGCTATATCTGCCAACCGAAATACTTGAGTGCATCGCCTCATGGCTAGATACCCAGCGAGATATCAATTCCCTCGTCCAGACAAGCCGACGATTCCTTCCGCTTAACAAGGTGTTATACCGTCGAAATGCGGAAGAGTCGGGGGGCTCAGCACTTGGATGGGCAGCCGCCCACCAGATGGAACAGACAGCCAGGAAGGCCGTCGAGGCTGGCGCAAGGAGCGGGGAAGCTTTGTGGATATGCGCCCGTCATGACGACGAGTACATGGCACGGTATCTGATTGGTGTCGAGGGCATGGAGTTGAACTTCAAAGACGATGACATTGGCGCGACACCACTCTTGATGGCTGCCTCTTGCGGCCATGAACACCTAGTCCGCCTGCTTCTCGAGACAGGCGACGTTGAAGTGGACGCCAGGGACCATAACGACCGGACGGCACTCCTTTCAGCCGCCCATGCCGGCCACGCATCAATTGTAAAGCTTCTGCTGGACACAGGAAGGACCGAGATAAACTTGGGAGGCGAGTGCAGCTCCAAGCCCTTGCAATGGGCTATTATGGAAGGGCGCGACTCTGTCGTCAAGATTCTACTGGACTCAGGAAAGGTTGAGCTCGATTTAAAAGACAACCTTGGTCGGACCCCATTATCCCGTGCGGCATACTGGGGCCACGAGTCAGTGGTCAAAGTTCTCTTGGATCGGGGCAAGGTTGATATTAATTCGAGGGACGACTATGGTGTCACGCCGTTGTTACGAGCTGCGAAATGGGGCCATACTGCGATCTTACAGCTGTTATTGAAAACAGGCGAGGCTAAAGTTGACGCAAAGGCAAACGACGGGCACACAGCATTGTCGCTGGCTGCTGAAGGGGGGCATGAAGCAATTGTCCGACTACTTCTCAACTGGGGTGGTGTTTCAGTAAACGCCACGGATTACAAATTCGGCCGTACAGCTTTGGCTTGGGCTGCAGTGCAAGGATTCGAAAATATTGTTGGACTACTGTTGCATTCCGGGCAAGCTGATATCAACGCAAGAGCATATGATGGCTCTACACCTTTACTACTGGCGTCTAGACTGGGTCACCTAAAGGTAGTCGAGTTGCTTCTCAACACCGATTATGTTGATACGGATGTGAGGGCAAATGATGGATCGACACCACTTTCTTTGGCCGCTGAAGGAGGTCACGATGCTGTCATGAAGCTTGTCTTGAACCTGGGGCGGGTTGATCTCTTGGCTGGAGAATCAAGGCTCCAATCACCATCCTCACCACTCTCACCCTTGATGTCGCATGATTACGATTTAATAACTAAAAGATGGAGTCATATACCTGGTTCTTACTAATTTTACTATTCCCATAATAATCTGATTTAATACAAGGTCCATGAGGCCGAAGGATATCCTATATTTTTCTGACACCCTTTGGCGTCTTCCTTCTAGCTAGACTCAAAAAGAGTATTCATTATACCAAACTGCATCACATGGAGACAAATATGCTGAAAGCTTACGGCTTTTGAAATTGTCACGTATTGTCAAGGCTTTATATGTCCGTTGAACATCTCCACCAGCACCTAAACTTAGACCCAGAAACAACACTTCATGTATCTAGTTTGCAATTGATATATCAAATCGAATCTTGAAGCCCTGAAGTAGGTATATTGAGAATCGTCTTTAAGCATCTTACTATTCCTTTATAAAGGCTAGGTACTTTACCACTTATACTACGTTCTGGCTTCAACTGATCAACAGAAGGGGTTGAGATGGACGAAACATCAACGAACATCGGCTCAATTTAATCCCCTACCCACCGTCGCTACCATGAAGAATCATTAAAGCAGCAGCTTTGGGCATGATTGAACTCTTAGAGATCATCATGCCAGGGCGGAATCGAGTACATTTCTCTGGGCCAGGTGCCTCTCGCCCCCGAAGTCACTCTGGCTCCGCCTCTCCCTCTATCACTTCCGCGGCCCCGTCCGCGTCCTCGCCCTCGTCCTCGCCCTCGCCCTCGTCCCCCGAAACTTGGTCGACTCAAGACAGGCCAGTCCGCACTGGTAGTAGTTTTTGGGTTCCGACGGGTTTTGTTACTGTCGTAGTCAGGACCCATTACATACCTTTCCAGAACAGGCTCAAGGTCAAAGAAAGCCCCCAGGAATACGTGGAAGCCGTGCATACCAGTTAGCATAGACTTGACGAGCTTTGCAACTAAAGTATACGTCTGGTACAAGTCGTACATCGCCCATTCTTCATAGTCATTGTGCATGCATTGCAGGGTATCTCTGCTGGTGTCAACGATAACAAGTAACTTAGACAGGTCAAACTTCTCGGCAATGAAGGACAGGAGACACGCCCAGGCTTTCTCGTGTTTATAATACCTGCAGGACTGGTCGACATCAAAAAGAAACCTGATGCGCCGAAAAGAGCTTAGAGTGGTAGGTTGGAGGGCCTGGAGACAACGAAGGGTTTCTTCAAAGGGCCCAACAAAAGTAAATATGTTTGCCGAGTAGAGAACTTCGGCTGCCTCTGCGTACATTTGCCGACTTACCAAGAAAAGGTTGAGGGGGAGAACTCGGCACTGGCAACCAGGCGAGTAGGATGCATAGTCTGAAGGGCAACTGCAATCGCGCTTTGTAAATGAGCAGTGGTGACAGCAGATGCGCTTAGGAACGATGCTGTAGCAGTCGTTGGACGCATCCCACTTTCCTACCTTGATGGTAAAGCCATGGCGATGTTCCCCATTCACGTTTCTGGGGTCGAGATTGGTGAGTGCAAGGATGTGACGACGGATCTCTCGTGGTAGACGAAAGAATGGGAACTGTGAGCTGCCTAACTCTGCATGAGGGTTGTAGTGTGCTGTCAACTGGAGGGAGGTTGAGCGCGCCAAGGTTTCAAGACCGTGATTTCTTCGCCTTCCCAACCTGATTGTGCACTTTTCGAGTCGTGGGAGAGAATACAGTGGCTTGATAATTTGCTCAGCCGTCTCCATATCTCCAACATCACAGACAAATTCCAGCTCAAGACGTCCAGGGGGGATACAGGATGCTAGACGATTACACAAAGTAGCCCAACCTTGAATCATGGCCTTGGACTGGGCTTGTCCATCAATCAACTCAGGGTCAGCCTTGTCGATTGATGCACTGCACGTTTTGCATTTTGGAGGCGCAAGAGGCATCAGGCTACTGTGTCCACGATGGCATGGCCAGCAATTTAGGCGGATCATGAGCCAGCGTAGTCGACTCACCGCAGTGTCCGAAAGGATGCTGAAGACCCTGAGGTCCTCGGCCTTGTGAGCACGGATCACAAATTTATTCTCACCATAGATTATATCGATGATCTCTGTGTGCAGGGCCTTACTAACGTGGAGTAACTGTCTTGGGAATTCAGAACAGATGCATTCCGGGTATGAAGGAAACACAGATCGGTCTTCGCCCATTTGCAGCATTCTAAAGCGACATAGGCCTAGGTTTAGCCTGATCGCATTTGGTGGTGGTGGAAATCCAGGGGGCGTTGGAGGATGACCAGATGGAAACGATGCTGTAGGCGAAACAGTCTCTGGTGCGGGGAGCGCAATGGCGATCGGGCATTCTCGGACATAGTCGGCAAAGAAGTATATACGTTTTCGAACATGGTAAGGAAGCGAAAGAAAAGATAGAGACGATTGATTCAGATCCATCATGAGAACTTGGAGTTGGTGATGGAAGATGGGATTGAACATTTGGGTGGGGATGAACAGTAATAAGCAATCAGCAGCTCCAGGCAGCAGCTTCCTTTGAGTCTCACCCAATCAAACACGATCCCCCAAAGACGAAAATCACCAAAATTGCAGGGTTTGTTTGTAGAAAAATTTTCTAATCAGGAATGACTACCTTTAATCCTGGAGAAGTTCTAGGGAAGCTCAGGGACTTGTAGAGGAAGAAAGGGCAAGAAAGGATAAAGAAGGACAATTAAGTTAGCCCCAGAAAGCTTCTTTGGAACTACTTGCAATCTACTAGGTACGATACTCATCCGTTTCATTCCTTTCTGGTATCTAACCAGTTGTCATTCCCAGAATAGATGTTGGCGCAGGCCGCCACAGGCTTTTAAGTAAGAGATAGAACTCACGTTTATACACCCAGCTGGATGCTTTGTTCATTTAAGAAGGGATGTTGACGAACCCCAAATAGAGAAATTATGACTAGTTCAAGAGTTGATAGAATATACCATCCGCTTGTGATGAACAGTGATTTAGAAGAGGTATCTTATTAGACGGCCAACGGGGAACTCTGAAGCCGTTTTACCCAGACCCCCCGAGCATCGGATTAAGATAAAGCCTCAATTTTAGGATTGACAATCTCCTGGCAGTAAACTCCCCACTATAAAACAAACTCATCTGCTACTGCTTATAATAACAATGAACGAATCTTATTCAATTGATAAAATGGGGGGTTTTCAACCGAAATGTCACGTTTTGGGGCCTGTCACTAACCGTAGATTGAAAAAAACCTACGGCAGGCTGGGGCCATAGCACACGACCTTGAAGCAGTGTATGTAGGCTATTGATTTATGTATCGGTACAAGGAGCCATGCAACTAAGTTTGTGTATCTACTTCGTAACTAATGTCGAAACACAATTACCCAGGTATATTTATCTCATCATAATGCATTGTCATTCTCTTGTCCCTTGAATCTCAATCAGCAGTGCCTCCTCGTTCCATCGCGATAGCCCAGTGGCGATGCCAAAAATGGGAGCTCCAATGGTACGTGCAGCTATACATAAGTGTTGGCTTCTCCTGAACCTCTGGTTGAGCTTATGGCCGCGTATGTGCCAACCTCTTGGAGGTAGTGACTGTAAGAAAAACGGGGACTGCAAAGTCGCCTCAGTAGAGTTCATGTGGCAGCCAGTCATATAATGATGCTTCATATTGTGTAATAGTAGGCAGGTAATATTGCTCAATCATTACTCATGAATTTATTAATAATAATAAAAACAATAATAATACTCGCTATCATGATCAATATCGCGGCCTACCTATATTGGAAAGTTCGGATTGAAACACCTCTGCAACCCCTGTTATTATGACGCCCACCTGGCAGCGTGGCTGTACATCTGAGGCTATGGCGAGTGTATATAGGTCATGATACTTTAGACAATGCGGAAACTGATACTCAATCATGTTCACACACCCTTCAATCTATTAATGTGAGTGATATCATAATGTACCGTGAGTTACAAGGCAAAAATGCCGAAGCGTCCTAGATCACTCTGAGTATCTAATACATTTCCCATGAATAGGAAAAAGCCACAAAAGTTCCAGTCTGTATTTAAGTAAACAAATTTTGAAGTGTCTTATTCTCCGTTTAATTCTGAATCGATCAATACAATAAATAATATGTGTACCGGCCCCGTGGATTGACAAGATAGAATGCTCTTGTCTCGATGGACGTACGCTACGAGGTAATGACCCATGACTCGAAACCTTTTGCACCCCACGGCATGTCTTTATACAATGTATAAACTACCGGAAAGCCCGGGAATGAGGCTAATAGCCAAGGCGGATATCGGGGTGGCCACTGACAGGATCACCAAGAAGATTTTGCGCGTTATGAAGGCAGTGTCTGAACACGTAGGGGCAAATATGACACTTCGCTTAGCTTTTACGATACGCCACTTATATTTTTATTGGATTCAAGTCTTATCGACCAGCCATAGCAACCAGTCAGGTCCCAAAGGGTAAGCAAGCATACATGCATACATGCACTCAGGAAGCCCCCCTCCCAATCAAGATTGCCTGCACATATGATTCGGAGAGCAGATGCGTAGTAAGCCCAACGAGACGTCCCACATTCACCGAAAATACCAGTGGAACTTCATGCGCAACCTTGTGATTCGATGTCTCAGAAGGGGCCCTCTCTTTTCTCACGTGCCTCTTCGATGCCGTGCTGTTGGGTAGTATCGTCCCATTGCCATGAGAGAGGGTGTTGTCGTTCAAGGATAAATTTTGGGGAACGTGAAAATCAGAAGCAAACTAAGTTGGCTATAGTCTACTAAAAATCAAGAAATACAGGATCTGTGTTCAGCCAAGGGTGGCAGCTGTCTCAGTGTCGAGCACGCTATCCCACCCCCAATAGGTTCTTGAAGCTCGCAAGGCTCTGTATCATGATAAGTGTTTGCGTACATGTATCTGCACCTGTGATACTTGATACATAGCTTGTTGTAGTTGGATCTCGACAATCTCTACGCTCACCCCAACCCAGAACAAGACCAGTCGTAACATGCCTTTGGAGCGTGGCAAAGTGCACACACCAGATTGGATAGCATCACTCCATCATACCTCGAGGTGGGAAAAAATGTCGAGGCTTAGTCACAACACATGGAGTGTGCTTACTGGACTGGATATAAGGCGTATCTTGCTGTGTACATATATAGAACGGGGATTCCAAGTAGGTAGGCTCACTGCATGTAATACGGCATTTGGCTTTCGGTCTGGCAGCGATCTCGGGGGACCTGGGGATAAGCGTGGGAGTCGGCTCTGAGTCCTTGTCTGGTGTATTGCATGTTGGTCACTTTACTGGGCCAGCACCGGTCTGATGGTGACCACCATCTAAGCACCTTATCCCACCAGCCGACGGAACACCTACAGGCCTGGAACCCAGCTTTCAAGCAATTTTCCTGTATTAGGCGAGGGCTTGTGTAATCGATGGGCGCATTCGCCTGCGCGAATACGTGAGACTCCCCCAACGCGCGCACGTAGACAAGGGTGGTGAGACTATCGATGGACTGGGGGAACTGAATGATTGCCATGGCAATGACGAAAGTTGCAGTAGATGGACATGACTGAACACGAAAAGGGCGCCCATCGTGACCAATAGTAAAATCCCGGAAGGGTCCAGAAGATACCAGGGCGGGCGTCAGCAGATCAGTGCGGATGACTGGCCGTGGGTGGTGTGGAGCGTGCCTTGGCGGGGCGTGTCGATGGGGATGGGACGTTGTGTGTGTGTGCGCGCCCTTGGGATGTGCGAGTGCGTCGATATGTACAGACACTCCCATGGCTGTAGAGTCACATAGGCCGGGCTGTGGGGGATGGAGAAGAGAAGATCGCGGATGGAGCATTGAATCAAGGGATCAGTGTGTCGAGAGTGGACTCGCAGGATGGTCTGGACTGGACTTGTACATGGCGACAGAATAGAATCACACCCTCTGCTCGCCATCGGGAGGCCGAGCAGTGATAGGTCGCCTGCATGGAGGTAGCAGCAAAGTGTCGGTCAACTGAGTACATATACTCGGGCCTGCTATGTGAGGCATGCAGGCCACCCACAGCATAGAGTGAGTGAGTGACAGGTCGCAGCGTATCTGAGACTGGATGGGCTTCTCCAATGGCGTGGCCGCATGCTGGCAGGAAAACGCACGTAATCACAGCCACAGACAACAACATGTAGGTACAGGCGATACGTGCGGATAGATCTAGCCGGATACACGCTGCACCACACAGAAACCGGTGTGCTCGAGGTACACGGACAGACACAGCGCTGGCTCAGCGGACGGCAGACGGTCCCGGAAAGACGGCGGACACAGACACAAACACGGACGCAGACACGCAAGGCACGGATAGACAGAGACATGCATGAGAAAGCCTCGTATCACCAGCCGTTTAGCTCCCCCCCAAGGAAAGGCACATGCCGTCGTCAACGGTCTTGGCGGCGCCGAGTAGAGATACCTGGGGATCAAGACCAGATATGCCGGATTGTCTCATCGATTAGGCATATGCCGTACCCGATACAACCTCCAACACCAATACATCGGACTCTGTCGAGATTGTCTCTCAATCAACACCCCACGTAATTCTTCCACTTCACACTGCCCGCTCCACCCTGCCAGGCAACAGCAGCACCCACATGAAGCCAGCAAATCACCCATCGCCAATCCAGCACTCGAGTCCCTCAGCTATCATTTCTCTTCTTTGCCCTTTGCCTTCATGTACGACATCCCGTTCCAGCATCCCAGCCTAGGAAATAATCCCATCCCACCCCCCTGCGCACAGTTTACGATCAATGACGAGAAGTGCAATAACCCAAAAAAAAATCTCTTAGACTAGAAGAAAGTTTTTCTCTACCTCTCAGCCGCTCACCGTGCATGTCATTTCCGCCCATCTCGAAACCGAACGAGAAGACCACAAACTGGCCTCATTTTCTGCCAGATCCCCAGACCAGCATGTCCTCCCGCCTCCATCCCATCGCCCTAATGCTCTTTTGGCCGGGTTTGCACGCCAGTTGACCAGTCTCTGTCCCCGTGGGTGCCCACATCGACTTGCCGTCCAGGGTTTCCCTTGGCCTCGATAGCGCGGGTGGGCCCGGTGTGGGACAGACAAGAGGCGAGCAAGGACAGTGGGAGAATCTCAATTCTCAAGTGAGAAGAATGGGGAGGGGGCATTGCAAGGGGGTGACCAGAGACCACTACGGACGCGGTGCTTGCACCAGGCTGCAGTGGGGGCCGAAAGTTAGCTGGATGCTAGATCTGTGTTGTGTAAGTGGTACCTACTGTATGTATCATGTATGCATGGATGTCATCGGTCAGAACGAGTGAGTCAAACACTTCCGACTTTTGACGGCGTTGTGGGTTTGACCAATGTCCCCCATCGCCGGGCGCCCTTGCCATCACTTCAGCTGATGGATTTGCCGCACGGACAAGAATAGGTC